TGATTTCATTTTTTTATTCATAACGACATGAACAAATGACAGAAACGCAAGAATGATATGCAGAAAAGTAAACCTTACTCGTAGTGAGCGAGTGATCGAATGACTACAATTTTTTCATTGCCAATGGTTCCAAAAATGATTTGAAAAACATTTATGCTTTTGACATTGCCTGTATCTCTGTAACAATAATACACAGAAAGCTGAAATTCTAGTATAAAATAGATTTAGATGTCTAGTAAGTATATTGTGAATATGAGCCTGCAACAGTATGAAAATATATGAGCCATGAATATTGCTTATGGAAATCGATACTTATTTTACACCTTTTATGAAAAAATCTATTCAAGTGTATTTCCTCTTCAGTTATTTAAAATCGGATTATCTTTATCATCAAAAGTCTTGAAACAATGGATGTAAGTCAATGATTTATATAACACTACTCCGCTAGATCAATGATACATATAGATAAATATGTTGGCAATCATATGCATATTGATGATGGGAACAATGCACAGAGTAATGTAATACTTTTTCATATATATATACATACTTGTCAAACAAAAGGTAGGTGTATAAAGCTTATGTGTAATATTTTCTTTTTGTAAAACAATCCTGTTACTGTGAACTGATAGACAGGGCTTTTGTCAAGGTTATTGTATAAAATTATAATCTTATCGAACAATGACATTCAACAATTGAATCTCTTTTAATCTTTTTTTTTTCTTTCATAGATTCAATTTTACATAGCATAAGCTATCAAAGAAGATGGTGCCTATTCAAATGTATGTGTCAGTTAGATGATTGATGAAGACTCATTTTATCGTTATCATAAAATGCCATTTTGATTCAATGAGAAAAAAAGAAACAATTTACAAATGAATAGGAAGCCAAACGAACACGAAAAGAAAGAAAAAAATATTGACATTACAATCATCTGGTTTAGAATCAGTAAATGTCCTGGTTTCGTATTTATTTGATAAGAATCATTAACTTATTTCAAATAATATAATTTTTTTATTTTATTTTTATGCACATTTGCCAGTGATATCATTTCATAAAAGAGCCTTTTTTTTTGTATTATATTGAACAAAGATTTTTTATTTTAATAATCAAGCTTATACTGGATATTGAGAGCCCATAAATTTGCATATCATCTACAATAAGATATATTATATATTCAAAAAAAAAAAGCAGAAATTCGAGTTCTTTTTCAAACATTAACTATAGAATAAGAAAAACAAGAGAAAAAAAGGAGATACTTTTTTTTTCTTGTCACCACCAAATGAATATTTTCTTGTTCTCATCGAAAATTGATCATTACTATAATTACAGCAATATCATTTGATATACGTTTTTTTTTGTTTCTTTTTCTTTCTTTCTTTTTTTTTGACATGAGACTATTTCGTATAGAATCGATCGAAAATATGCGATTTAACTTATGTCCTATATTTGAAATTTTTTGATTTATATGTAGCTCGACAGCAGCAACAAACGCTTCGTTTTTCTTTTCATCTCTTTCGTCCTCATACACTAGCAATAATAGAACGAGGAAAAAAGCAAAAAGAGAAAAAGGGAGAACATATATATATATAATCGCCTCGTTTCGATATGTATACATCCACATATTCATCATCACCTGTCCGAACGTCAACATTGGAGACAACTTCAACAAATTACCAATATCAATCGCATCATCGTCAGCATAATCAATCATCACATAATAACGGTATTAATACAATAACTGATAATAATATGGCTTTAAGACGTAATTTTGATGGTGATCCACGTTCGTATTCACCTGTAACATCAATTCCATTAAGTGCCCCATCGTCACCAAGAAAATATCCAAATTATTATAATGATTCATCAATTGATCGAAATACATATCAACCAACAGCTTATTCATCATCCTCATCATATCGTACATATGGAAATGATGCTGAAACATTTTGTCCAAATAGTTCACGTTATAATTTAAGTTGTAATAATCGTGCATATTCATATGATGATCTACTCAATGAACAAAATCGGTATCAATCATCAACATGTAATACACGTAATATTGATCAATATAGACAACAACAAATACCAAAACGTAATCTCTACTACGATTATGATAATCATGATTTAATAGTTAAATCAACAGATTTACCAGCACAATATGAACAAGAGATGATGAATTTAGTTCGAACAGCTTTTCGAAAATATGAAATAACTAATCAACGTGAATTAGCTGGTTTTCTGAAACGTGCTGTAGACAAAAAATTTTCACCATGTTGGCATTGTATTGTTGGTAGACAATTTAGTTCATATGTAACACATGAAATGAATGGTTTTATCTATTTTACAAAAGGTCCAATATCAATTTTACTTTTTAAAAGTGGTCCATAACTATTTTTTTTGACTATTGCTTCTTCTCAATTATACATATCGCATATTAGTATTTATTTATTTTTATTTTATTCAATAATAACAAGAAACAAAGCATTATATTACATCTCAGCAAATTATTTTCTCTGTTGTCCCTTATGTATTTTTAACAAACATGAAATAAAAAAGACACCACTTTACCTTTCATTGATGTTCTGCAATCGAACGTAAAAGAAAACAGAATATGACCTTGTATTTTAATACAAAAAAAACAAGAAAAAAAACGAAACCACAAATTTTGTTGTACACGTTATTGATTGTTCTTCTTTCTAAATCAATACAATTCATTTCAAGGGTTTCGTTGTCATTTTATATATGAAAAACAAAAAAGTTTCATATTGATTATTTAATAGTAGTACACTTACTTACAAATGAAAGAAGAAAAAGCAACAAGCATTATGACCGTAATACATTAAAGAATTATATATATATATCGATATAACTCTTGTCAAAAACGAAATATAATTGATTAAGTTATAAATATTGAATAACTATCTTAAAAGAAAAAGAAATAACATTTATTATCATTTTGATTTCCTATTAAATAGATTATCAGATCGATTAGTATTGTCACTATTCATCCTTGTTTTGTCTTCTTTTTCAATCGATCTTAATAATCTTATGAATTATATAGTCATATACTTCAAGTACAGTTATTAAACAGTCTCAATTTTTGAATAAAACATCCATAATATGTTAATATGTCATAAAACATATGCTGCTAATATTTATTATTCTTTTGTAACTTTACATAAAGTAAATATTCGAAGTTCTGAAATTTTCCATATGTCACTGATCTTTTAAAACAATCATGCCATTCGATATCAATTATTTAACTAGTAGAGGATGTAAGCCGATCGGCTGATGACGAAACCTTTTCAGATGTTCCCTTTCAATTTCAATGATTTTTGGCCTATATATACTACATAATGTTCTAATAGAAACTCTAAAAGAATTTCGGTTCCTATTGAAATTTGACTAACGAGGAAAGGCTTAGAATTGATCAATCGCTTTTGAGTCGAGAGTATGTGTATCATGTAGTTCCTAACGAGCTATAATTACTCTGAAAATGGTTTGGGTCCACAGTTTATTAGTGATGAAATACTGCATTTTTTAAGGTATTTTTTAAACAGAATATCGTGGTCCTCCTCAAGAACACTAGGAAAACTAGTTTTTGAATTTCAACTTGAAACTTTGCACATGGACAGGTCTTAAAGAGAATAGTTTATTGTAAAAGTTTCAGATCTTTTTGTTGTTCTTATCCTGAAATACGAACATCGAATTTGCCCGTGTATATGAGCAATCCAAAAGACAACTTTAACCAAAGCTGTATCTGAGGATAAGAACAACGAAAAGATTTGAGACTTTTACAATAAATTATTCTCGTTAAGGTCTATCTATGTGCAAGGTTTCAAGTCGAAATTCAAAAAAACCAGTTTTCCTAGTGTTCTTGAGGATGACCACGATATTCTGTTTAAAAAATATCTTAAAAAATGCAGTATCTCATCATCAATAAGCTATTGGCCCGAACTCTTTTTAGGGTATTCATAGCTCATTAGGAACTACATGACGCACATACTCTCGACTCAAAAGCGATTTATCAATTCTAAGCCTTCCCTCGTAAGGTTGAATTTAAAAGATGTGGTAATTACTAAATTAGTTATTAGTGGATCTTTTTCGATCGTGATTGAACATATGATGTGTTGAAACACTCCTTTTTTTTAATTTTTAAAAAATGCTCATTCTAAGTGTTATTTTAAAAAAGTAACTCAACATCGTTTTATTCAAATGATTCATTCATTTTTAGGTAGGTTGCTGAAAAATTTTATACCGGATAGCAAATATCAATTGTTGAAAACCCTTGCATTTGCAGCGCATATAGGAGAGGCACATTTTGTAACAAATGAGATAGTTGATGAAATGAACACTTTATTAGATGAATTTAATCTTCGTTTGTCAGACTTATATTCAGTTAGCATTTTTATAATTTTTATTTCAACATTAGAAAGAATTGTGACTATTTTCCAACGTAAAGATATGTTAAGTGTTGTTAATGTAATTTCATGTTTAGCAGAATGTGTAGCAAAAGCTAGCCCAATGACAAATTGGAACATATTTTCTTTCGAATTAATTATTGGTAAGTAAAATCAAATTATTTTACTCGAATAATACAATGTTTTTCTGGATAGGATCATTTTCACATAATATAAATAGTACTTCAGCTATGAGTATTGAATTGAAAAATTCATTCGAGCTTCTTTACCAGGCATGATTGGCTGTAAGTAGTTCATGATTTTCATTTTGATGGTAAACTTTTTGTAAAACAAATATTTACTAACAATCGTCAAGTACTGCCTTCTTCACTTATATATAGCCCTAATGAAAATCATTCTATTCACCTTTGAAACAAACATGTAGTTATACCTGATCTGAATGTTCTTCTTGCACAGAAATGGACATACGATTCATACACTATATACAATACAGCTTTTATTAAAAATATAAGATTCAGTAGCGAATCAGATACTTTAGATAAGGTTACCAACGATAGCTGTATATTATATTAAATGCATAATTCGAAAAAATTTTTTGTAGGTTTTCTAAAATGTATTGTGAAGCTTATGATTAACAAATGATATATTGTTTGTGATACAACAAGTTTCAATTAGGTCAAACGTTGATGAATTGATCATTGGTGATCCAAATTTTCGATGTAGCAATGTCATGTTTGGAAATGTTACAACACCTACAGTTTATCATGTAATCCAAGGTTCGAATGCCATCAAAAAATTAGCATGTCAATGTGAACATTTGCAACTAAAATAAAAAAATTCACCTCGTGTTTTTTTTTTGATATTATAATTTTTGCACCAACTCATGATCGTTAGTGATTGATTGATATGTGGATCTTTATTTGATCACAAGAATTTTTTTATTTTATGTAGATACAAATACAAATAATTAGTGATTTTAAAAATAAATCATTAGATGATAAAGAAAAATGAAAGCTCTAGACGATTTAATTTTCTTTCACGTATATTCCGAAACCATAAAAAGCTTCAATTCAAAAGATACAAATAAGGAAGATAATCACAATTCTATCAAAAAAGAATTATGCTACTTTTTGTGTTTATAGCAGTTTTTACTGGTAAAATCATGATTTTAAATTTTTTATCATTACTTCTCACATAGTAGATGCTGATTTATAAAAACGTCTAAACGAACATGTAATATTAAAAAAACGCTTTGAAACATTAAAACAAAAAAAAAGCGAAGATCACCCTTTATATTGCCATTTATCAGCGTTTTTCTAGTAGAACAGTCAAATGTGACTGTTTAAACAGCATCTTAGCGGTTTCGCTGCTGTCTGAGAAATGGAACCTGTTGTACACCTAATCGACCAGTTGCTATAGCAGGACGACGACTAAAATTAAAAGGATTATTGTTTGTCTAAGAACGAAAACAAAACATACGAAATTGGTTCATTAAGAAAATCTGATAAATCTGTTGTTGATAAACGATTATTTTCTGAAACAAATTTTGATAAATCTTCAAAACGTGTTTTAAGATCTTCATCTTTGGATTTTTCTACAGCTTTTTTAATATGTTGTAACTAAAAATAGAAATTCATTTTTTTAATTTATTTTTTTAAAAATATTTCTCTATTACGAACCACAAGTGGAAATACTCGACGATAATCATTATC